ATTTCTGAAAGCTAATACGTACCCTTATTGATTGTTACGTTGTTACTTAATTTGGGGCTCTTTCTTCTCCCACTAGAACCTGTTATGAATTATGCGGCCTTTGGTCCGGGCGTCCGGCCTCAGTTGATGGTGTCCTTGCTTACTGAACAGTAGCTTAGCTTGTGAATGAAATGCTAGGGCTGCAAATGAGGCGAGGCGAGTCGAGTTCTATCTTAGTTTAAGGTTGACTCGTTAATAAACGAGTCGAGCTTGAGTTCAACTCGTTTATTAATGAGCTTGAGTTTTATTTGGTACTTCATTTTGTATATCATGATACATATGATTTATTTTGTTAGCTAATCTCATATTATACTTTGTTGGTATCATATATCATTTAGTTAATAAATTTTAGGACTTTGCTACGGTGACATGCATTTGCTACGGTGACTTGCATTTCACCGTAACATGCACTTTTCGGTGGACCTAATATAGGATTAGGTCGACCTAATTTGCTGTTTCAAAGAGTGGAGAGGTGTAGGAACTCCATGAGTTTAGCTTGTGTATTTTGTTGTTATGTGGTTTTCGATTTCATGGAGTGTGTTTTATGTGAACAAATTACGAAGTGTGTTTTATTATATTTGTTGTTAGTGTGTTACGTTGTTATGTTAAGAAGTTATGAGTCCTTGTTATCATGATATAAGACTGATTCCAATGACTATCAAACATAATTTGAACGATCAAACGAACCACCCACATCGACATACATACGCAAAAAAGTCGAAGGCCATAGGCTAAATTTCCTTAATTCGGTCGACCTCTTACTGTATTCGGTCGACCTCGAGACCAACACTCAATCTTCATTTCACGTTAAAAAGGGACGGATAAATGGATATAGCATTTTACTCTTCTGTCTGGTCGACCTCTTTCTGTAAATGGTCGACCATTTTGGTAATGACCACAATCAAGTGGTCGATCTTATTACCTTTACGGTCGACCAATTTGCTTCAGACTACAATGAAAAGGGCGAACCATGTTTTATTGTGGTCGACCGGTAATTTCACAACTTATCTCGAAACGGTCGACCACTACATTTTAAAGGTCGACCGTGATAAATCATCATATTGCCCACATTAGTGTATTCGGTCGACCGCGGTTAGAAATCGGTCGACCGAAAAATGCATGTTACGATGACATGCATGTCACCATAGGCGCACCCTAAATTTTAACTACTTCAAATCATGTTATTTCATAGTATCGAAGCAATCTATGATATATAATTTCTTTTTAAAGAGAAAATAAGATATATTTGCTCACATACTCAATGTGTTAAACTTTATATATGGTGGGATATATAATTTAACAACCATATAAATTAAAATCATAAGATATAGATTGTTTCATCCATAAGTCGGTAATCGAGTTGGCTCTCAATCTACCCACATGTTGAAACATATAATGAGCTCTAAACGAGCCAGCTCACGAATTTAGCTCAACTAGCCACCGAGTCGAGCTAGCTCGCGAGCTTCACGCGTGTAGCTCTCCGTCTAGGAAAGACTTTTTTTATTGAAGTAGAAAAAGTTATAGTGCTAGAACTATGAAGGAATCTTCACAAAAGTAGTTTAAATGCAACTTAGATTCCACAGGGCATCAAACATCCACTTTTCAATTTTGTTCGAAAAGATTTGAGTCGTGTATTAATAATCTTTATAACTGAAGTCTGAGCGCTTGTTTGAGCATTTGATATAGCATAAAAAAATTTCCATCTAGGAAAAATCACCTTGAATGACTTTAGCCTCCATTCAAGATTTTTGAAATTAGGGGAACTTGAATGAAAAGAAGTTTGTTTATGATATGTTCAGGTACAGGTTAGTCCGGTTTGTGCTCATTCACGTAATACTATGGTGATTTACGTAAGAGTGTAAGTTTTTCACGTAAATGAAAATTCATACTTCCCCCTAATAATTTGTATTGGCTATATTTTATGGAATTAAATTTGGATTATCATTTAATATGCACAAATATATTGCATTGATCATAATCTATAGAATGACATCCATTTTGATATATTTCAAAGTTTAAAATTTGATTTTACAACGGCGTGAATAATTAACAATATGCGTGAATAAACATCAGGTGACGTGACCTAACAATATTGATTGCGTGAATAATCAATGTTCTTACGTGAATAACGCAAATATGACGTAAATAACACAAAATATGACGTGAATAACGCAAGTATAACGTGAATAACCTAAAATTAGGTGTTTTGTCACCTAACGTGACAAGAGACTTCACTCGAGAAGGGAATTCGACTTACTGGATCCCTGGGGTTTGTTTTCAGACTAGTTCTCTTCATTCTCCACCAATTTAGCAAGTACCCATTCTTCTATTTGGTTTCCTCGTATAAGACCCTGCAGAGTTTTTACTTATTGAATTTGAAAGATCCAGGCATCTATATGCAGGATAAACTATGTAATTGATTAGTGAATGTATATGTAGTTGTGATCCAAATTGTATCAAATCGTCAATTTATACGGTTTGGTTTTGATAACACCAATTAATTTGCGATCATGCATACGGCACGATACCGTAAACTTATGGGGCGATGTGGTTGGACGACACCGTTTGCACACCCCTGCCGACTACCACCATTTTATTTAATCTAATCTATAAATGGCTGGAGCCTGGAAGACTTCTAGGGTAAGAGGAAATGAATTGCAAGAATTGTGATTAGTCACTAGTACGAATAGGAAATAACAAAGTGTTATCGTGTTAAGTGTTAACCACTAAATGGCACATTAATATTTAATATCTAATTGGCTCAAAATCTATAGTTGTATAAATAATAGGATAATTTCTATTTTTTATCCAAATAATTTTCAAAACCTATTAAGATGCTATTAATTAGCCGAATCTTACGTATGTCAATAACCAGTTGATCACAATAACTCGAGTTGTTGGGAGAGCTTCAATCGTGGATCATATATCATTCACTAACAACGTAATGCATCAAAATATTAGCCATTTTTAAGTTATCTTTAATAAATATCTAACTTTTTTGCTTAGTTAAAATACTAAATTTTGGAATGTTGACATTCATGTGTCTTTTTCAAGTCAATATTACAAACAAAATTGCTAACTCAAAATTAATATTTGTTTAATTCTTAATATTTTCATAAATTTAGATAATATTAAAGAATCTAAAAAATATTTGAATAAAAAATAGACATTATCATAAATAATATCAAAAGAAAAAACAAGCCGACCAAACCTCAACTAAACGGACGTAGACATCATGCATGCATCCAGCGCACGCGCACCACATGTTTTGTCGTGTTTATCATACCGTTATCAACAAAAAATCTATGTGCTGCATTAATTTTGATCTCTTAGGGTGCGTTTGGATACAAGGATTTGAATTTGGTATTTGTGATTTGGATTTTCAAATACTAAATCATGTGTTTGGATATTAATTACATTTGGTATTTGGATTTGTGTCAAATTCATGGGGTGATTTCCAAATACATGTCTAGTGTATTTTTTGCAATGTTGTCAAAGCCGAACCGAGCCGGCCGGCCGGACTGCCAAAGCCGCCACCCGGCCGTAAAACCGGCTCGGATCAGCTATTTAACCGCCACGGTTTTATACAGCGGCCGGCGAGCGGCCGAAGCGGTTAACCGCTCGAGCCGCTCAAGCCGGTCGTGCGGTTTGGCCGTTTGGTTTACCCTAAAAAAAAAAAGAAAAAAAAAAGAAAAGGCCAATCGTGGAATGGGGCAGCCAAATAAAATCCTAACTTTCATTTTATTTCTTCATCTTCGACCTAGAAGTAGAACAGACGACAGAGGGAGAGCGGCGATTGGTTTACTGGGTATTTCTATGTTAGCATTTCTCCAGTGTGGGTATTATTGGGCTGTCGGTGGCGATTGGTTTACTGGGTATTTGATTAGTGGTGGATCTAATAGTCGTTTGTCTGATCTTGATGTGATTAGCGTAGATTTTGAGATTTGCTGATAGGGGCAGCTAGTTTGCTTACGAAATGGACTACTGGGGGATTAATCGATTAGATCTGTCTTCTAGAAGTTTCAGAATGATAGTGTTAGATTTTCCATTGTAAATTTGCTGATTTGATCTTTTTTTGGTACCGGTTCTCAAACGGTTTTTAAACGTTCTAATGCCGGCTGGACCACTAATGACCGAGCCGTTCACGTTACCGGGTCATACTCCGGCTCGGCTTTGACAGCATTGATTTTTTGTCAACTTCAAATACATTTCAACAACTAGTGATTTGAAATACCTCCTAACAAAAGAATGGACCTATTTGTAAAATATGAAAAGTTTAGGTACTATAGTGTGAGGCAAAACATATAAAGGTACCAAAATGTAATTTTACCATCAAAATTTCAGGACCTTTTTGTAAAATTTTAAAAGTTTAGGTACTAAATTGTAAGAAAAAATAATTTTGGGTACCAAACTATAATTTACCAAAATTTGTAGTAAGTGACCAAAAATTAAAAATTGAAATTGAAAATCATAAATACAAAAATACAAACAAATTACAAATGAGTATCCAAACAATGAATTTGAATTACATGTATTTCAAATGCTAATACTTCAAATACATCTATTTCAAATGCTAGTATTTCAAATACCTTACATTTAAAATACACTTATTCAAACGCACCCTAAAAGTCCCTAAGTGATATATACTACTCCCAATTAATGCAGCACATAGATTTTTTGTTGAATTGATGCATCAATTCAACGCAAAGCAACAAATGACGATTTTTCTTTCATTTCGGTCAAAACCAAGCTGTGTGTTTTGAAAAGTCGCCCAGCAAATCTCAATAGCGCGGGCTCCCAGCCAGCAATACATACAATACAATACAGTCACCAATGGCGGCAAGCTAGCTAGCAAGCAAGCTTCACTAATCCCCGAGCTCCATCTACTCTATAAAATCCCTTGCAACCCAATCTTCTCCTCAACTCACACACCTCTGCTCCTCTCTTCAATCATAACAAAAATGACGTATTATCTTCCCCAATCCATAATTCTCCTCTCCCTCATCCTTTCCACCCTCACCATCTCCACCATTGCCCAATCCAAGCCCAGATCCCTAATCCTCCCGCTAACAAAAGACCGCGCCACCAACCAAATCCTCACCCGCATCGAAATCGGCACCCCCCGAGTCTCCCGTAACTTCATCGTCGACATTGCCGGCCGACAGCTCTGGCTCGATTGCTACAGCGGATACTCCAACTCCTCCTCCACTTACCGCCTCGCCCGCTGCGGCTCCGCCGCCTGCTCCGTCGGCAAAGCCGACTGCCCGGGTCCCTGCCTCCTCCCCCCGCGCCCGGGCTGCTTCAACAACACCTGCGTCGTCCTGACCCGAAACCCGATCCGGACGACAGCTGGCATTTCGCCCCTCTCCCTCGATACGGTGTCGCTTCACTCCACCTCCACGAGCGGGGCACGTGGCGGGCCCCGCGTCTCCATCCCCAATTTCATCTTCGCCTGCGAAGATGAATTCCAGCTCGACAACCTAGCCGCCGGGGTAGAAGGCGCCCTCGGCCTCTCCAGCGAGCGAATTGGCCTCCCGTCGCAGATCTCGACCGCCTTCGGCGGCTCCCTCCGCCGCGAATTCGCACTCTGCCTGCCGTCGGATCCGAATTCCGACGGCGTCCTGTTCCTCGGCGCCGCCCCTTACGTCATCGCGAACAGAGTCGATTACTCGACGAGATTCAGGTACACGAGGCTGGTGAAGAATTACGAGCGCACCGCTTCCCCCAACGTCCCCGGCGCCGAGATCCCGGCCTACTTCGTCAGAATCACCTCGATCCTCGTGTCGGAATCTCCGATTCCGATCAATTCCTCGCTCCTCGAGTTCCGCCGGACCGGGATCGGCGGCTCCGCGATCAGCACGGTGGATCCGTACACGATTCTCGACAGCTCGATCTACAGGTCGCTGGTGAGCGCGTTCGAGAGGAGCGGAGCGATGGGGAATGTGAGTAAGGCGGCAGCGGTGGCGCCGTTCGGGAACTGTTACGAGAAGAAGGACCTGTCGATTGGGAGGATGGGATTGGAGGTGCCGAAGATTTCGCTGGTGTTTGAGAGCAGGGAGGTGAAGTGGGATTTGTTTGGGGAGAATTCCATGGTGGACGTAAACGACGACGTTGCGTGCTTGGGGTTTGTGGACGGTGGTTCCGATACGACGTCGTCTATTGTCGTTGGGGCGCATCAGATGCAGGATAATTTGGTGCACTTCGACCTGCATTCGTCGAGGATGGGGTTCACTAATTCGTTGTTGTTGGAAGGGGTTCGATGCTCGTTATTTCACATTTGATGTGGTCTTTGATTTTGTTTATATTTCTGAATAATTTGTTGCTTGTAACTACTACTAGTGTATACTTGGCTTTTCTTTTGCACTGTATACGAGAGAAAAGCTTCTATTATCCATAAATAAAAAGATCTACTGTACCGTTTAATCCCAGTATTTTGTTGCAGAAAAAAATTGCCGTAATTAAGAGAAAAGTGGTTTTTGGATAAGTCAAACATATTAGTATTCGAACACAAGAAGAAGATATAGTTACGAGTTTGGCCACCTCGCAAACAAGAGCAACCTAAGCTTTGACTAATCCCGTTTAGGAGTAGTACTACTACTAAGTACTAACTACTAAGGATAACCATTAACCAAGTACCGAGTGATCTAGACTACAAGGCGGATTTGATAGAATGGCGGGAAAGTTTGTTAGCGGATTTTATGTTCCTGCTGGCAGTCAAAGAGAAAAGTCCAGTCAGGATTTAACGTAATTGCATGACTAGTAGATCGTTCATGACGTACCTAATCATCTACTGCGTGGGCTTTAAAAGGGGCCCACTTAATAAAAGCCAAAATAACCTGGCCCATCGTCGCAACAAGTGGCCGGGGAAGGCACCATATATGTCGCGCTGCATTCAGTGCCAAGCTTGATAGGGTGGCTTGGCGGGTGAGTGTTTATTGTCACTTGTCAGTATGATTGAAAGCCGAGCCGAGCCGCTCGCACCGATCGAAAAAACCGTTATCCGGTCACAAAATCGGCTCGAAATAATCTAAAAGCCGCTCCGGTTTTATGTAGCGGTTGACAAGCGGTCGAGATGGTTAACCGCTCGAGCCGATCGAGTTGCTCGTCCGGTTTTTACCATTCATCAGTTAAATTTAACAACAAAAATTGCAGAAAATTGAAAATTGAAATAACTAAAAAACGTCTGGCTCTCAAACTGAATTCATATTTCCATTTCACAATTTCGAAGGAAAGAGACGAATTCTGATTAAGAAATGTCCACTATTTATACTGATAACGTTTATTAGGTACCAGTTCTCTAACGATTTTTAAACGGTCTAATGCCGGTTGGACCACTAAAGTGCGAGTCATTCGCATTACCGGATCATGCTCCGGTTCGGTTCTGACAACATTGGGCATGATCCATAGTAAAATGACATTATTTTAATAAATTTAATCACTAAAAATATAATTTATTATTTTATGAATTTGAAAGGTAAATATTGACGTTATTGTTGGTTACAGTGGTGGAGACATGATTCAAAAGTACATGTGTCCTCTTCTCAATATATAAATAATTATTTAAATAATATAATTACAACTAATAATATGCAAATAGTTCAGTCATATAAATAACTGACTAATACAATCGTTGTTCATAAACAATCACGACGCGCTTTCATATTTTGAAAGCAACGCAAAAATACGTCCATTGTCTACACTCTTAAGCAAGTTTTTCCCCCCAATGTATTCAACTAAACAGTCATTAGTAAACTGGTCGTCAATTCGACTTCAAAACTTGTTCTTGATATAGATCAAAGCTAAAAATGCTCGTTCTACATTTACAATTGCAACAGATCGAATCAAAACTAGCTTCAGAAGTTAATAAACCGACGGAGAGAGGTATCAAATTGATTAGAGATTTTAATTAGAGATTTTGTTTATAGTATGTAATAAATTAATTTTATGTTGAATTATTCATCAATAATGGCTTGTGGTATAGCCCCCAGAAGTTACCTGTGTCCCTAGACACATCCAATTGGCTCTAGATCCGCCTATATTGAAGTATAAACATTTAGCTATTCACATTAAATGTTGTATTTAAATACTAGTAATTTATTTAATTAAAAATATAAATTTTACTTAAATTATCTTCAAATATAGTTAAAAAAAGGATATGCTAACCATTCTACTTTCTACATGGTATAAACCGAATTGAGAAACCTGCTTTACAAGCAAATCCTGGACCGCTGGCCCTGTTTGTTTGTCTTCTTCACTCATTCACTGTACTGTTGATCTAAAAAAAAAGGATATGCTATATTAGCATGGATAGGATCCCCCAAAAGATACCGACCTCCATAGGTGCAATATCTCAGCTGTCTCCTTCCTCCTCCAAGTTGCTTGCTGCTGCATTCACTCCCCATGGTCCTCGAGTCGAGTCAGGGATGCATTCAAACCTTGGTCCTGATATTTTTCGACTCGTTGCAAACTTATCATCATCTACATCTACACTGGACCATGCTCAAGTAACTAGTGGCAGACAGGCAGTAATCAATATCAACAACCAAGCATTTCATCATCCCACTCGTCAATGGCGGCAGCAAACAAGCAAATATCTTCAGTTCTTCACTACTACTTAATACCCTTCCCTTGACCAAAAAATGCACAAACCTCTCCATTTCATTCTTCCATCAATGGCTTCTCCCGTTCAGTTTCGGCTCATCACTCTTTCACTTGCCTTTTTCGCTTTCTTTTCTCTGGCTCAACAAGCTAAATCCAAATCTGTGTTCCTCCCGCTTTCCAGGGACCGGGCCACTAACCAAATTCTAACCCATCTCCACATTGGAACCCCTCCGATCACAAGAACCTTCATCGTCGACCTCGCCGGCCAAATCCCCTGGCTCGACTGCTACACCACGGCTAAATACTCTGCATCCACTTCCTCCACTCACCGCCTCGCCAAATGCGGCTCCGCCCCTTGCTCCGTCACCGCAGCTGCCTGCTCTGGCATCTGCCGCTCCGCCTCGGGACCCAGCTGCCACAACAACACCTGCCAGCTCAAGACCCGAAACCCGATTCGCAACGCCGACAGTTTATCCGAGGTCGCCGTCGATACGGTCACGCTTCGCTCCACCATCGGCGGTGGCAGGGCGGGCAAACACGTCTCCATCCCCAATTTCATCCTCGCCTGCGACGATTCCTACCACCTGGGCCACCTCGCCGCCGGCGTAGTCGGCTCAGTAGGTCTCGCAAGAAGCAGAGTCTCCGTCCCTTCCCAGCTCTCCTCAGCTGCAACCCTAGCCGCGAAATTCGCGATTTGCTTGCCCTCGTCCCCTGATTCCAACGGAATCATGTTCTTCGGCGACTCCCCTTACGTTTTCTACCCTTCCGACAACGAAACCCGATCAATCGACGTTTCCTACAGACTAATTTACACGAAGCTCCATACCAATTACCGCAGGACGACCGCCCCCGGCGCCCGCGGACCCGAAATTCCAGACTACTTCGTCAAAATCAGCTCGATTCTGGTCGAGGGATCACCGATTCGGATCAATTCCACGCTGCTGGAGTTTCACCGGAGCGGAATCGGAGGGACGAGGGTGAGCACGACGGATCCGTACACCGTACTGGAGAGCTCGATCTACAGATCTCTGGTGAGGGCTTTCGAAATCGAGGTGATGAAGACGCCGAGGGTGAAGAAGGCGGCCGCGGTGGCGCCGCTCAGGAACTGCTACGAGAAGGGCGATCTGCCGATGTCGCTGAGCGGGCTCTCGGTGCCGGAGATCGCCCTGGTTTTCGAGAACGCGGATGTGAAGTGGGATATCTTCGGGGTGAATTCGGTGGTGGAGGTGAGCGAGGAGGTGTTTTGCCTGGGGTTTGTGGACGGCGGGCCGATGACGGCGAAGGGGGCCACGGTGGCGGCGGTGATCGGAGCGTATCAGATGCAAGGGGTTCTGGTTCAGTTCGATTTGGGGTCCGGGACGATGGGTTTTACTAACACGCTTTTGGCTGAGAGCGTCGAGTGCTCCAACTTCCGTTTTTAGTGACTAATGATTGTGATTTACAGTGGCTTATGGGCTTTTAACCACGTTTGTAGTCCAAGCTTAAGAAAAAAATGGCCCAATTTTATTAACTGGGCCCAAAATCAAAGAGTCGAATCCCGACCCGTTGTAGGATCCGAATGTAGTAATTCTATCCACAAACCCGGCACAACTCCTCCCCCGGCCCAACATCGACCCACTCAACCCGACCCGAGACCGCTCCGCGTCAAACACCACGAGATTATCCTCCAACTGATGCCCTCCGATCACCACCGCCGTCCGGGGATTCGCTCCTCCATCCACCAACCCGAGACACGTCACCTCATCCCCGACCCGAACCATCGAGTTCGCTCCCAGAATCCGCCACGCCGCGACACCGTTTTCGAACTCCACCTCGATTGTCGGCACCGCGGGGCCGTACCTCGTTATCCTGATCCCGCTCGCATTGAAGCACGCCCCGAATGGGCCCACCGAGGATATCCTGGTCATGTTATATTTACCACTAGCCTCCACGACGAAAGCGTTCAAAACGGCGTCGTAGATCGAGCGCTCCAGGACAGTGTAAGGATCCACGGTGCTGATCTTCGTCCCGCCGCGACCTTGCTCGTCGATGGACAATAGCGTCGCGTTGACCTTGACCGGGGTGCCGTTGACTTTGATTGACTTTACCCCGACGAAGTACTCCGAGGAAGCCTCGCTGTCGTTGTGACACGTGGCCGTGCTCACCGGGTTCGTCAGCAGCGGGGCGAAGACGAGGGAGTTTGCCACGTCGGAATAACCAGCCGGTGGAGCAAACAGGACGGCTCCTGTGGTGGGACCCAAGCAGAGGGAGAAGGTTTTGCCCATGCCGCCGCTGATTGCGGCGGAGAATTGGGAGGGAAATGACATCTTTGTCCTCCCTAGTCCGGCCATCCCTGAAACGCCGTCGGCAAGCCCCTCCAGTAGAAAGCTGGCGCCACACGTGAACAGAAACTCAGGAACGCTGCCACAAAAAAAAAAAAAAAATGAATGAATTGTTTAAAGATTCCGTCTGATTATTTCAACTCGACTCCTTCTAACTTATTAGGAGCAATTGATTTACGAAAATTTACTGATTTATTACATAATATCAAATAATTGGTCTAAGAACTTGTATGTTCAAATCTTCACGACCTACAATATTAATTATTGATTACGTACAGTGTATGGTAGACCTGTACAAACTTTAAATTCGTAATAATCAGTTTTCGTTTGAGGGAAACAACAACTAAAGCCAACTAATTTTGTAACACAAAGTCAACGAATCTAATTATTCTAGATAGAAAATCTTTTGTAACTGATTAACGTACAATATTAATAACTGATTAACGTGCATGTCGCTGTTTTGATTTATTTATATAATGTGGACCATGTCACTAAAGACACTAACTAAATGAGAAAATGAGAAAAACCCACATATATTTAAGTATGGTTGGTGTATATATAATAATAATAATATACCTAACCATTTCCATCCCGGAAATACCCCGCATGGCCGCTGGTGCCTCGACATAGATGACGTCCATGCCGACCTCGCCGCCGGTGACAATCCCGGCGACGGAGTTATCAACGACGAGGCCGCACGTGTCGTTGTGGCACCCGGGCTGGGACTGGAAGAAGCAGTCGTTGAAGCAACTCCTGGAGTCGGCAACGAGGGAGCAGTGCGGGGAGCCGCAGCGAGCCGGCGAGTAGGTCGACGAGATGTACGGCTGGTCGCAGTCGACCCACAGCTGGCGGCCGCCGAGGTCGAGGGTCAGGTTCAGGGGAACCGGAGGAGTTCTCTGTTGGATCACCGTGACGTATTGGAGAGTGTCGGCGTCTTTCCGTACCGGGAGATAGAGTAGTAGCGGCGGCTGGCCGTTGTTGGGATTAATGGATATAATCGAAGATTTGCATGGGGAGAAGATGGTTAATAGTAGTGTTAAGCAAAGGACGAGAAAGATGTTCTGGGTTAGAGCCGCCATTATAGCTAGTGGTGGAGTTGATGGAAGAGAGATTTTGATGATCGGCAGCTGGCTAGCTTTATATATATATATAGTGTGTGTGACGTAGAAGTTAAGGGGTGAAGAAAAAACAAGTCAAGGTCTTTTGTTGTTGTTGTTGTAGCTTGGTGGGTGCATAGTTTTTACCTGGAAACTCAAGGGAACAGTCTAGGAAGCATATGTGCATAGTCATATAGTTTAATAATTCATTGAGGTGTGGAGAATTCAATTCCCAGCGTGTTTTGTATAAAATGTGCAACTTGTACGTCGTGGAAATTGGTGATGATTACTGTAGTTGTGGCGACGAGTAAATTACTTGTGGATTAGTTAAAAATTAGGATAAACACAATATATTAGACATAACTATTAAGAAGTGGGGAATTATAGTCACAACTGAATCGAAATATAAATTATTAGCCACAATTATCGTTGCGGGTCCAGATATGACTAAAAATCCGTTACCGCCATTTATTTTGTAACGAAAACTGCCACGTCCGCATCCATGTTGGCGCCCACATCAACAAATTATTAAATATATAAATTTTTAATTATTAAAAATTAAAAGAAATTAAAAAACCTACCCTACCCCTCTCTTCTTCTTTCCCTTCTTTTTCTTTCAAGGAGAAGGCAGAGGGGGCGGAAGGAGAAAGATTGCGGTGCGGTGACGACAAAGAGGAGGGGTTGCTGTGGAGACGACAAAGAAGGTGCGGCGACGACAAAAGCGAGGATGGAGAGTGGAAGCGGAGTCGTGTCTGGTCGGTGGCCATGGCGTGGAATGAGGAGGAGAAAAGCGCTTCCGATCTGGGGGGAGGAAGAAGAGGGAGCGGGACCACCGCACCATTTATTTTGTTCCTTTCATTTATTTAATTAATTATTTTTTTTATAAAAATTAAAAAAATGTACGGTGACTGCCGTATGGGAGCCAGCTCAACATCATCAACTTTACTAACGAAATTCTTAACAGAGAGTTAACGTTTGGCTAATAATTTGTATTTCGATAGTTGTTACTATAATTCCTCGTTTCTTAATAGTTATGACTAATATATTGTATTTACCCTAAAAATTATGGGGAATAATATGACAGGGTGTGCCTACGGTGACATGCATGTCATGGTGACTTGCACTTTCCGGTCGACCTCATATAGGATAAGGTCGACCTAATCTATTGTTTCAGTGTAAAAACAGTTCATGGTGCCTACTTTGGATATTCATATCATACAATTTAATTGGCTAGATGGAAATTGAAGACTAATGACTTGTTTTGAAGCTGGAGTGTCCCTCTACATATTGAAGTGATTGAGAGCTCGATTAGAAGTCCAGAAGACCATTTTTGAACCTCATCAAAAGGCTATGCCAAAACTGGGAAACTGTCTGGAAATAGCTAAGTCTTGAAACGTGTTTGTGAAGCCTATTTTGGAGCTCAATTCGAGAAGCATGAATGCGAGTCGAGTCCAGGAGCCTCTACCACATTAAATTAGGTATGTTTTTATACAAATTCAAGGCATTGGATGAAAGATTGGATATCTGTAAGGCTTCAAACAAAAGGCTCGAAGTTGCTACGAAGGCTGTTTTTTTGGCAGCTTGCTTGTAGCAACTTCGACCCCTTTGTTTGAAGCCTTAAAGATATTCAATCTTTCATCCAATGCCTTGCCTTTGTATAAAAAAATACGTAATTTAACGTGGTAGATGCCCTTGAACTGGACTCGCATCCATGCTTCTCAAATTGAGCTCCAAAGTAGGCTTGACGAACACATTGCCAGACTTAGCCATTTTCAGGCAGTTTCCCAGTTTTGGCATAGCCTTTTGGTCAGGTTCAAAAATGGTCTTCTGGAATTTCTATTGAGCTCCCGAGTACTTTAATGTGTAGAGGGACACTTCAGCTTCAAAACAAGCCTTTAATCTTCAATATCCATTTAGCCAATTGTAAGATAGGAATCTCCAAAGTAGGCACCATGAAACTATTTTTACACTGAAACAACAGATTAGGTCGACCTAATCCTATATGAGGTCGACCGAAAAGTGCATGTCACCGTGACATGCATGTCACCATAACAAAGTCCAATATGATATTGTGATTCACTTGTGTGTCTAAAACAAATACATGGGTAGATGACTGTGGTGATCTACTAGTGGCATAGGCAGCTAGGTCATATTGGGGGTGTTATGTGACTCCCTACTATTTTGAAAATAATGATCATCTCTCGAGTATGTATTTGGTGTTCAAAGATGAACCTATTCATTAATACAAGAACAATTTATCGCTACACTATAACCTATGTTTTGTGTTACAGCTTAAAATTATATTTGTAATTGTCTCTTGTGAAGGTGAGAGTAAACGTGGATCGCTCCTTATTTTTATTTTGAAGTCAGTGTTAATTCTACAAGTTACAATTGCAAGTTCATAGAGAACATTTTTAGTTTTGAGTTAATTAAAAATAATTTTCTAAATCGAGTACACGACCTATTCGTGAATGATTGCTTCATGGGAGGGAGAAGATAGGGTAACAACACCTACTTTGTTGTTATTGTGACAACAATAATGCACAACCAATAGAAAGTTAGATTTATGCTGACTTTTTAATTAGATAGGTTGACTCAATTAATATAGGGTAAAAATCAAACAAGGGCAGATTCGCCATTCTTGAAAATTCATTCCTCCGGGAAACAGGTCGTTTCTCTCCTTTGTACGTAACACTTCTCTCTCCTCACTGTGTTACCCACCTCTCTCGATCCCACCCCTGCCGCTGCTTCTTCTTCCCCATCGGCGTCGGCTGTCGAACTCCTTTACCATCTCCGTCGCCTCTCATCTGAAAAGTAGATTACAATCCGACGACGACCTGAGTTTGAAAGAAACGAATTCAAAAGTTCCATGAGCAATTCTGCAAGAGCTACATCTCCTACAGCCGCCTCTTTTTTGACGCAGAAGCGATTGGAGTTTGTGGAAGAGGGCCAGATCTGTGAGGAGGCCGAGCTCGGGAGGGTGGTGCCCGCCGATGTCGGCGTGGTTGAGGTTGACGCCAGCTACGATGCAAATTCTAGGGTCGGTCAAAAAATGCCGAAGTAGGAGTAGACGGCGGGGCCGTCCAGTTTGGCGGTGTTGTGGTGTTGTTTAATTATTTGTTTTTTTAACTTTTATTGGCTGGAAGCGCCGCTCAGCTTTATGTTAATTTTGTTTTGAATATTTTTTGGTATGATTTGGTGATTATTTTGGTATTAATTGTGGTTGTTTTGGTATATATTTTATGTTTCTAGTATATATTATTGTTTTTTTCATCTATAAAGGTGACTAAAACACGTGAAAGGAAATTATAAATCTCATAAAGTATATCAGAATCGCGAGAGAACACATTACAAATCTCAAATAGCAAACCACAAATCTCTTTACCCACACCACATATATCATAAAGAACGCCACAAATCTCATAAATTGAATTTAAACACGAGAAACCAAACTACAAATCTCATAAATTGACTAAAAACAAGAGAAACCAAACCATAAATCTCATAAAACATACTGGAATACATGTGAAATTCAAAAACTAGAAATATTGTAAAGCATATCAAAACCACAAAAAAACACCACAAATCTAAACACAACTCATTTCACAAAACACACTACTAATCTCATAAACAACAACACAAATATTTCTAGAGTACACAACAAACCTCCTAATGAATGCATACCACAAATCTTCTAAAACAAACCAAAAATATCACAAAACATACCACAAAAATTCTAAAGCACTCTAGAACCCTCCTAATGCTAACTATAAATCTCCAAAAACATACCATAAACGCCACAAAGCATATCACATATATTTTAAAGCACATCAAATATTAGGAGGTTTTTGGTTTGCTTTATGAGATTTATGCAATTTGTAGCTTTCTTTGCCGTGTTTCTGGTTTGTATTAGGAGGTTTTTGTGTGCTTTAGAAATATTTGTGGTATGCATTATGGTATTTCTGGTATGCTTCAGAAGATGTTTGGTATGCATTATGAGGCTTCTGTTGTGGTTTAGAAATTATTGTGGTATGCTTTGTGGTGTTTCTGGTGTGTATCATGAGATTTGTGGTGTGCATTAGGAGGTTTCTGGTGTGCTTTAGAAATTTTTATGGTATGTTTTGTAGGTGGTGTTTCTGATATGCTTCAAGAGAATAGTGGGTATTGGGTTGCATTAAGAGGTTTTTGGTATGCGTTATAAAATTTTGTGGTATACTCTATGGTGATCAGATATGCTTCAGGATATTTGTGCTATGTTTTCTCTTGTTTATGGTTTGTTATAAGAAATAATCGTGGTATGCTTTGTGTTGTTTCTGGTCTGCTTCATGAGATTTGTGGTGTGCATTAGAAGGTTTTTGGTGTGCTTTAGAAATATTTGTGGTATGTTTTGTGGTATTTTTGGTTTGCTTCAAGATATTTGTGGAGGGCATTAGGAGGTTTTTGGTGTGCGTTAGTAAATTTTGTGGTATACTCTGTGGTGTTTCTAGTATGATTCATGATGTTTGTGGTATGTTTTCTCCAGTTTCTGGTTTGTTTTAAGACATTTGTGGTATGCTTTCTAGTAATAATAGTATGCTTTGAAATCTGTGGCTCACGTCTAAGAGTTTTATTTTTGTTTGTTTTATAAATTTTTTTAAAGATATTTGTCGAGTATTATATGAGAAATACGACAATAGGTGAAGACTTTGACTTTCCCATGTTCTGGTCATGTTCAAGCTGCCACTGAGAGTACTGTAGTTTCTAATTAGGATATCTAGACTAGCATATGTGGCCATTTGAGCTCGTGTTGATGAGAATGACAAGAGAATTATGAGGAAGTAGATGAAGTGTGGGACTTATGTGCCTTGGGTTCTGATTGGGGTCTTATGGAACTGGATCGTTCTGGAGATGGGATTCATCATGCTTTCCTTTGAAACGAAGCTAGATAGGGTTAGCTATAACTGATTTGCATGCAATCCTTCCTTTATCACCAAATTACCTTCAGATGACAATTAACGGAAACACCGCCCACAACCGACAGCTGATTTCCCTACCCTCGCCGCTGTAATTGCAGCGGATCACAACCCAAATTGTCGCATTGCGTCTAGCAGGTAAATGCGTCAACCCAAATTGACGACTGTGACCGTCCCTAAGGGCCTCCGTGAGGGCTTCGTGGAGGAACTCAACTTTCGTGGCGGCGACTTTCAGATCCTATTATCAGTAAATATCGGGAAGGCGGTGATTCCTCTAATTTCCGCTGGGGTCTGGATGTTAATTATAGGTCTTCTGACCCTTTCGGTAGATGGTGAAAATGACAGGTTGAAGACAAAAAATCGCCGACGGCAATGAACGGAAGCGGATTCAAGAGTAAATAGATGATGGTTACTGGTTGAAAGGAGGAGAAATCGCCGGCGGTGGCGCACGGGAATGGATTAAGAAGAGACCAAGGGATGAGGATGGGGACAGGGCAGTGCAGGGATTGGGGCTCGCTCGAGTCTGGAGGATTATTTTGTATTTTCATTTAATTTATGATTTTTGTTGTATTTTACCTTTTTACCCTTAATGTCATCTGTTGTTATTATAACAACAATAGGGGTGTTGTTACCGTATCTTGTCCCTTCATGGGATACTATAAAGGAGATTTGTTTAATTATACTTTCATAATATATATGTAAGCACAGTACGGTTGTTACATGGGCGTGACGACCCAAATTTGTCATCCACAATATTGCATATGTGACTATGAAATTCATCACAAATAGTTATTTTTGTGAAACCAACCCGATCTCGAATCATGAATTTTAAAGAATGTATTTGTGATAAAACTATGGTCACAAATAACAATATTCGTGACGATTAGATATTTCACTTTTGTTATTTTCTTGTCGACACCAACTCGTCACAAAAAGGATCTCTATTGACGATACTATTATCATGGAAATATTAGTATCAGCTACGAAAAATTTTCACAATTGGTTAGTCATTTGTGACGATTTGGACCCGCGCGGATAAAATATAAATGTTCCAAAACTTGTAAAAGATGTTGCATATGTAGCTAAAATGTGTTGCAAAAACTTTGAAACATGTTGTCTAATGTGGTGTTGCATAAAAGGTAATGAAACGACCCGATCCTTTTTGAAAAACAAACCATAACTCAAACCACAAACAGGTTACTGCGGAGCAACCCAAAATAGGTTTACAAGTCAAAACCAAAAACCAACAACAACAATGTTTAAGATTTTCAAGTGAAATGTCATAAAGACTTAGGCGACCTCAATCCAGAGCAACAAAGCATAAAACACAATCCTTGAGTTTCCCAGTATACTCATTCTTTTAATACATGAAAGCTAGGTACGCTTTTTGGCCAAAACATGCATGTTACTGTTTCATTTTTTGTCCTTTAGTAAAAGAGCACTCCCTATTCCATTGTCCTCAATCACTCACAAGAACGAGAAAGAAGAACTCCGAAAGTGTAAAAAAGAAAAAGGAAAACAGGTTAGGAAGGTCCCCCCCCCCCACTCCTGCCAAGTTCTTATCTACACTCTTCCCTCACCAATCACATCATTCCCAATTTTCTTCCAATCCATAATCATCTCTCCAGCTTTCCAAACGATCTAATTGTGTAAAAAAAAGTGTTTTTGCCCCTTCCCTGCGTTGCAATCCCTTCACCTTCCCTCTTTTACCATCAACCACCTCTCCCTGACAAATCCTTCTTCTCTCATACTCTATCCTCTCCTATTTCAGAGCTGCTGATTTTCTTCCACAAATTCATCCCTCCATCTCTCTATACCATCCGTCTTTTCTCCATCACCTTGCTTTCCAATTATCTAACCTACTATCTTCTAACTCTCATCCATATCCCAATCTTTTCTGTACTTTCTCTCTCCTTCAACTCCAGCCGCTGGGCAAAATCAGAGGCAACGATGGTGGGAATCCTCCATTGGCACCAGGGAAGACCAGCTGCAAATATCATTGATTTTCAACAGGTGATCGACGAAAGTTTGCTTCATTCAGCTATCGCATAAAAGAGCCAAACGAAATCATAGATTTTTGCTCCTATTGATTTTAGCAGCAACAAACATGTATTCTTTCCACTCTCCCTTCTCGAGGTCCAGCAGCAGCAGAACCGACGCGGAAGGCCACATAGAGAAGAAGAATGCGAACGAAGACGAAGGTGGCTGAACTTTCACCTCTGAGCAATGGCCACAGCGTTCTCGGTACGGTTTTTCACTTCGTACGATCAACGAGAAAAATCTTATATTAGATATTGGTAGGGAAGGTTTTGTCTCAACTTGATTTTTGTCTGATACACGAATCCTAAAAATTGTTAACTTCCCTTGATTTGTTTCTTTTGGGGTGCGAGTGAATGAAACACTACAGTTAGGTAGTTGCAGTTTAAAATTCTCGACATATGTTTTATGTTCAAAGGCTGCAAGCTAATATATCCCTTTGTGTTTTTGTTGTAGTTCTGTTTCTGAGTTACTACGCCTTCTATGGAGTCAGTGGTTGATAATGGAATAGTTGGACGTGAAACAAAAAGCAACAAGAAATCATCGGGTCCAAGAGTCTCCAATAGCCTTCCTTTGAGCTCCTGCTCAACATCTCGGTCTCAACCTCTTAAACAGTTGCCTTCATACACTAATGGTTTTGTGGATCATGGGTGAAGGGTGGTTCTGATCAAGGATTCGAATAAACATCCAACAAAACTGCTAAGTAATTATGCACCTCAAGTAGTAAGGAACAAGAGCCAGACTTCACTATGCCATCTTCTATTGTTGATAAGAATGATTCAGCGGTAGGAGTAGAGTCCAGTTGTCAAGAAGCAAAAACACTTTTTAGTAAACACTAATATTTCTGATGGAGACAATTCAATATATTGATTGTTAATGATCTTTTCTTGGGCTTTAAACTGATTGAATCTCAAGTTGAACTTCTTAAGGAGCTAATACTATAATTCTATGGTTCTATCTAGGGGTGGAAATCGGTACGGTATCGGTATCCCAATCCCGAATACCGAATTATACCCGAAAGTCAATCCCAATCCCAATCCCTAAATAATTTCGGTATCCCAATCCCAATCCCTAAATATTACGGTATCCCAATCGGTACTTCGGTATCCCAATCGGTATTATCGAATTCGAAATTAATTATATTTGAAATAAATAATTAAATATATAAACTAGATTTGATTGTTTAATTTAGGTCAAAGAGACTAAGCAAAGAGTCTTGAGTTTTTCTAGAGCTAGGATATGGATAAGGAGAATGAAGGAGAGGTGACATCTCAAGTTCTTGTCATTGGTAATCATTAATTTGACGAATTCAAAGCTGATAGTCGACTAATACTAGTGTTTGCTTTTTGGTGTTATGAAAATTACAAGTTATTAGGTGCGAGATGAGAGTGACTTAAATTGGAAAGTCAAAATTGAGTTGGATGTGGACTTTTGAGTTGTGAAACAAAGATGAAATGATCTATGTATAATTAAATGACATTCTTGGTGGTAGAGGTTTGTGTAGTAGTGAATGAGAGAGTCTAGTTGAGAGGAAAAAATACACACTAGCTTATATTTCGGTATTGATCGGTATTTCGGTATATACCGATCTCAATCCCATAATCCCTAATACCGAATTACAATTGAAATTCAATCCCAATCCCAATCTTGTCGTTTGGAAGTTGCGATTGTTTTGTTGAGATTGTCATTATGCATGTATTGTTTACAATGCATCGTTTTTTTATTTTTTCAGCAGAAACAATACATGAATTGTTTCTATGATGTGACAGAAACTATCACTCATTTTGAGCTTTTAGCTTATGCGACATACACAATCACACATACCAAACGTTGTATTCTACAATGCATCAAAGTCGACAATACATGTATAATATTATACATGCATTCTCAATAATACATCTATTTAACAATCGCAACTTCCAAACGACCTCTTAATCCCAAAAAATAATACGTGTATTTGGTAATACCAAATATAGACAAATTCGGTACGGTATTCGGTATATCCCAAATACCGGTACCAAACTTCCAGCCCTAGTTCTATCAGCTAAAATTCATCTGTTGGTAGTGGTCTTATGCATCAAAGCTGGACATTTTGCAGGGCATGTTAATCACTCTGCCAGAGTGATGAGATTCAATACAATGGAGAAGTCTCGACTTTAAAACGTAGAAATGTGAAGGCTCAAAGACAAACTTAGTCTCAGCATTCTGTTAGTAGTTTGCCAGCTCTACACTACGTCGCAGACGACAAGGGAGGTGATGTTGCAGTTGTTGAGGGTGAAGAGGAGTCAGAGAGTTTGAAAAGGCAAGAAGAAGTAACCTCCCTGTTCAGTAAGTTCTGTGATTTTAATCACTCATAGGCTGGATTTTCTTTTTCATGTGGGTTCATGAAAATAGACTTAAGAGTTCAGAAATTTAACTTGGAATCGTAAGAAGTCATTGTACATGGAGTTAATTATTTGTATAATTGTGTCCAGTATTATTTTCATCAAAGAGGTTTATTTGACAATATGAGGGATGGATTTAAATTACCATATGTTTCTATGTACTTAATCCATGGTATAGGATTTAAGTTAACCCACAAACCTTCCCATTTCAATTCTTCCATCAATGGCTTCCCTCATTCAGTTTGGGGGATGGGATTACGTGCTAACCCTTATAGGGGGTTAGCACCGTGATAACTAGCAAAAAACGCTACTAAAAACAATGAAATCACTACGGATTATTATAAAATCAATACAACATATAAGCTAAATCACTACTAACCCTTGGTTAGGACGGTACTAACTCTTGTACAATTAGCACCGTAACCAGTCCCTCAGTTTGGGCTCATCACTCTTTTACTTTCCATTTCCTCTGTATTTTCTCAGGCTCAACAACATGCTAAATCCAAATCGTTGTTCCTCCCGCTTTCCAGGGACCGGGCCACTAACCAAATTCTAACCCACCTCCACATTGGAACCCCTGCGATCACAAGAACCTTCATCGTCGACCTCGCCGGCCAAATCCCCTGGCTCGACTGCTACACCACGGCTAAATACTCTGCATCCACTTCCTCCACTCACCGCCTCGCCAAATGCGGCTCCGCCTCTTGCTCCGTCACCGCAGCTTCCTGCTCTGGCATCTGCCACTCCGCGTCGGGACCCGACTGCCACAACAACACCTGCCAGCTCCTGACACGAAACCCGATTCGGAACGCAAACAGTTTATCCGAGGTCGCCGTCGACACGGTCTCGCTTCGCTCCACCATCGGCGGCGGCAGGGCGGGCAAACACGTGTCCATCCCCAATTTCATCCTCGCCTGCGACGATTCCTACCACCTGGGCCACCTCGCCGCCGGCGTAGTCGGATCAGTAGGTCTCGCTAGAAGCAGAGTCTCCGTCCCTTCCCAGCTCTCCTCAGCTGCAACCCTAGCCGCGAAATTTGCGATTTGCTTGCCCTCGTCCCCTGATTCCAATGTTCTTCGGCGATTCTCCTTACGTTTTCTACCCTTCCGACAACGAAACCCGCTCAAATGACGTTTCGTACAGACTAATTTACACGAAGCTCCATACCAATAACCGCCGGACGACCGCCCCCGGCGCCCGCGGATCCGAAATTCCGGACTACTTGGTCAAAATCAGCTCGATTCTAGTCGAGGGATCGCCGATTCGGTTGCTGCTGGAGTTTCGCTGGAGCGGAATCGGAGGGACGAGGGTGAGCACGACGGAATCGGAGGTACAAGTGATCACATATGGTACACGAGCACACCACCATCTACGAACGAACTTGTCTTGGCCAATTCTGCAATGGAAATCAAAAGCGGATGGTTAGAAATTCGAAAACGAAAGCAGCTGTTTAGACACATAGATAGCTGGTAATTAGAGAACTTACTTCCCATTTGGATGAAAGCAGCCATCTTGGAGGTGGCCAAAACATCTTGTAATGCTTAGGGTCACTCACCAAAACCTCTGCACGACCGCTCTCAAACTCAAACACCCGTATACCATGACCAACCATCATCCCGTCGTCGTCGTCCTCCTTCCTCGCGTGATAGCGTTGCATATCCTGGAAGAATATGCAATTCCTCCCGCAACCATGAAGATCAGACGACGACGAGGCAGCAAATGTAGAGTCATAGCCAAGAAACAACACATTATCCCCCAAGCTCGTCAGCTCAACCCAAGTCTTCCCTTCTTCATCCAACCTATAAACCTCAAACCCCCCTCCCAAATACCAATCTTTCTCCCCCGAATCAACCTCATCAGATCTGGGATCACACCAGAGATGCGCAACCAACAACAATCCATCATTCGACTCAACCAAATACTTGTTGCCGCCGTCGCCACCACCACCGCAAAGAGGGTTAGCCACCAGGGCCAAACCTCCATCCTTGCCAACACTCACCAATCTCCCGTTCCTTTCGACACCAAGCAACCTCCCTCGATAAACAATCACATCATTATACGTAACCCTCGGATCATCACCACCTATCACCGTCCATTCCCTGTCACCACTCCTAAGAATAGCCAATTCCTGGCAGAAAGTAAGGGCGAGCAGGACGAATGATTCTTCTTCATTCTGTGGACTACTGGTCGGATCTGAATCCAACCACATCACCACCACTTTCAACGGAAGTAACATCTCTCCTCCTCTTCCTCCTGCATCCTGCAAGACATACTCCTGGCCTAATTCCCTCACCTTAAACTCCCACGAGTTCAATGATCTAGGGAAATTGTTAGGCAGAACCTCGTGCTTCACAGGGTCCGTGGAGAGGGGATGCATCAGGCGCCGCCGCCGCATCGACCCTCCAAGAATCTCTTCCGTCTTCATCAGCCAGTGGCCGAGATGCAGCGGGGAGTCGTCGTCGTGGTGGTGGTGCTTTCCCATAAGGTAAATCGTCCTCTTTGAGAGGAGATAAGAACCCGAGCGAGTGAAGCTCCAGGCGGCGCAAGCAGGGAGGAGGGTATGGGGGAGATGAGAACCCGATCGCCCGCGGATGGAGGATCTCCAGTGTCGGCAGACAGAGCGGAGTAGCTCCCTGGAAACGTCCGGGCATTTGCTGATTCTGTCGAGGAGATCTACAGGGAGAGCGGACCAATTCGCCATTATTGCTAGACTAGATAGCTACAGTACAGAGAGGGTGTCTTTATTTTATATAGAGCAGGGTACCGCAGATAGAAGAGAATCCTATTGCAAAGAGGAAAAGGAATTAACTCTCTTTTTCATCTCGCCATGTGTCCAATTACTTCTTGGGATTGGACATCAAACAGAAAATGAGTCCGGTCTCCTCTCCTCTGCTCAGTCAACGGACAGAATATCAGTGATCTACTTGAAGCAGCAACAAGTAGTCAAGTACACAGATGGTCAACCGTGTTCAACATAAGTTGTCCACGAGAGCACAGTTAGATTACAACTCTCTTTTTCATTTTCTTTTCAGTGGGATTGGACATAAACCAGAAATTTAAACCTGCAAGCATATACCATAATCGTATCAATTTTATGTCTAACAACTGTACAATGGTTGATTTCTCCTATTATTAAACTTATGTATGTTGTGATCAATACATGTATTACACTAGACATGTATTTATGCATTTGGTGTATCATAGATTACTGTGTTTGGTATATGCGATTGTAATTTTTTATAATTAAAAAAAAAATCTTTTAACAAAAATGTCATTTAAATTATAGTGTCTATTATAGGGAATCGTTTGGTATTTGTTATTAAAAAACTAAACAGAAAAATCTATTTGGTTATTTTAACATTAAAACGATCCTAAACATTTTCAGTTTCCTTTCGAAATTCTATAGTTTTATTCCCGAATCAGTGATGTGCAAATGGCGAATTGTAGTCATCTCTTTTCTTTCGTTATTTTTTATTTTCAAATAGAAAGTTTAAAAGTAAAGAATAATTAGAGTTTGGCATGGGTCGGTCAAACAGGTTAAATTTCAAGTTTTGGCCCGCTTTGATCAAGTCTAATTTATAATCACATGGTTCCCTGATACCCGATAAAAATCTCAATCCAAACCAGTTTGGCAGGTGAGTCCGTGTTTACCACCATTTTCTAGGGATACAGGAACGGTGGTTCCTATCCCAAATCGTGTTGTTCATTCTTGATTTCTTTAGATTTTGTCATGGCTTGGCAAAAAACCAGAAAGCACAATGATGACAAGATGAAAGTTTTATAAAGCAAATTAATTAGCCAAGCGGCCAAGTAAAAGCTAGCAACGATTGTGAGATGCTCATTTCCCGAAAACCGGCGGGACAGGCGATTTTTATTCGATTTTCTAGAATTCGGTTTCTATAAAACTTACTCCACCTCATCATATTGCCAGAAACAATATTGTTTCACAAGGTAACAGATACTTGATTTTGGTTCATAAGACTGATTTTTGATTCGTTGCATCATTCATGTTTTTTTTTTTTTTTTATGGGCAATATCAAAAAATTTTATTGAAGCACTATGTGTCCCCCATTAAGTAGGGAAGAGCACATCTGGGTCATTTACAATATGCAGCTGCATAACTGCTACATATACACAGCAAACAAATGAAAAAATACCTAACATATACACTGGTAATTACTGACTAAAAACAACTCGGCAATCTGCATCCAGAGCCATGTTACCACACCTAGCCAGCTCGATTACCCTTCTCACTGTCCTGACCAACTCCATAGATTGCACAACTGAGGAACCATACAGTCTACCACAACGTTCCCTCCATATCATACTCACCACTAAGTTCCAAACCAAACGACCCACCTTGGCTAAAGCTGTCTTCCCCTTGAATGTTCTTACCGCCCACTGCAAATACTCCTCATAGCCAGTTAGCTGAGGACAAGTTTTGTTAAGCATGAGCAGACAACCCTTCAACACCTGCTTTGTGTAATGGCAATGAAAAAACAAATGATCCCTATCTTCTGCTTGCGCCAAACAGAGCAGACATGTTGCACTGGCTACTTTCCCCCAACTCTGCAACTGTACCAAAGTTTTAATTCTATTTCTCGTGATAAGCCAGCTTAGAAAACTGTGCTTTGGGATCATTCATGTTTCTTTCCTACTAAAATTCACTATTTTTATCACGTGTTTCCCAAAAAAAACTATACAACAATAAGCTATACATCACATTACATTATCAAATTTCATACTTCACTTTCCTCCGGCCAAATGGCAAGGGCCCACCCTAGTTACAAATTACTTTAAGAAATCTCCAGTTGTTATGGTCTAAAAGGCAGCGGGGTGATGGTTTATGTTTGTATTAATTGAAGACCTTTCTGCTCAGTTAGTTTTTGCATATATTTTTTTAAATACAATATATTATCCATAACTATTAAGTAGCGGGGAATTATAGCCACAATTATCGAAATACAAATTATTAGCCATAACTATTGTTGTGGGTCAAGATTTGGCTAACAGCCCGTTACTGTTTTCAAATTTTTAACATAGAAGGCCATGTCAGCATCGTAAAAAATATGATATGATGACTGCCACGTGGGAGCCAGCTCACCATCGTAAAAGTTTATTCATCATTACTAACAGAAGTGTTAACGAAAACTTAACGATTGACTAATAATTTGTATTTCGATAGTTGTGGCTATAATTCCCCGATGCTTGATAGTTATGGCTAATATATTGTATTTGCCCTATTTTTTTTTTTATAGTTTGTGTTTCTACGCTTTTATATATAGAGTTCAATTTGACATTTACAAAAAATTAAACTCTTGGTGCAATAAAATATAGAGTTAGAATTATATATTTGAATTTGGTCTCTGTGGCCTATCACTTTCAAGATATTGTGGAATTGGCATTACCTCATATATACGTGTCAATGTCTCCAATCGTATTATAAATAGAGCTATTAAATATGGGATCCACAATATTGAATTAATGAAAATGTCGCGCGACAAGATTGCGAGCTAATTAATTAGTTGAATGGATTTTTTTTTTATAGCATTAGTTGAATGGATTTAAATGGCCGGTACTGAGGTAAAGAGATTCTTGGATGGGTTGCTTTCCTGGGATGGGGTGAGATACGGTGACAACCCTTTTTAGCGTTGTTATTTGGGTTAATATTTTCGTATGGCCTGAACTTTGACCAAAGTAAACATCCTGGCCAATCTTTTCGATCTATAACATTCTGGCCCGAACTATACACCAAAGTAAACAATTTGGCCAGATCAGACTTTTGACCGTTAACTTGGACGGTCAAACGCGTTGACCGTTAGTCAACGCGCCATGTCACCGCCAACTCAGCAAGTTCAAACAATTTTTTTTTTAATTTACACCTATTCCATTTTCTTTTCATTTATCATTTTGACAAAAAAAAAAAAAATTAGGGACAAAACGCCCCACCCCGAGCCCTAACCTGATTCTTCCCCTTCTTCCTCTCCTCTCCTCCTCTCTTCCTCCATTACTTCGTCGAAGCTCCTCCATCGACCGACAAAAATTCCCAAGCCGCCGTCACCACCACCACCACCGTTCCTTCCGCCGCCGCGTCTGCCCAATCCCAGCCTCCGATCGCCACCCCGGCCTTCCGCTCTTTCATCAACTAAATCTCCGACACCGTCCGCAAAGGCCTCTCGCAGCGCCGCCCTTGAGCCGAGCTAGCCGATCAATCCGCCGCTACCTCCGCCGCCGTCGAAAGTTTGCTGGAGGCGCTGGGCTATTCTATCCTTCTTTACAACATCGTTGCGGCCGGAATGGAGGAAGAGAGGAGGAGAGGAGAGGAAGAAGAGGAAGAGAGGCGGGTGAATTCGTGGATGGGGATGGGGTTGAGACCTCTCCAATTCTATCCTCTCTAATCCCCTTTCACTCCCGCTGTCGAGACCTCTCCAATTCCCTTCCACTCCCCGCTGCCGAACAGTCCCGCGACCACCTCCACGTTGGTTCAAATTCCCCATTTTCCCTTCACAATTAGTGTTCAATTTCACAGACTGCAGAATGGGAAAAGAAGTTTGTGTACCAGGCGGAGGAAGGGCGTTGTAGACGTCGTCGCGAAGTGGGTAGCAGACCCCCAAATTAACATAAAAACAAAACCCTAATCGCTAGTTCCACGAAACTTCCATCTCTGTCATCGATTACCACCCTTCTCCCTTCTTCTGGTGGCGGGGGATGTTGGGGAAGCTGAGGCGGCGAGGGAGCGAGAAGGGCAGCGTGGTGGTGGTGGAAGAAGAGCCATCCCCGCCGCCGCCGCGACCTTTGTATCCAGCTCCGGCGTTTGCTCCTCTGAGCCGGTAGCGGTGCTTATATTTGGTCGGGAGCTGGAGGGAGCTGGATTGATTGCAGGAACGCTGCCTGAATCAGGGGAGCCGCCATCTCCTTCTTCGTCGTCTTCCTCCACGGGTTGCTGAAACTGGACTAGTTCTTTCTCTTTCAGGACTTTCTTCAGCAACCTAGCTGACATCCCTAATTTCTCGCTCCTTCTTTCAACAGATACAAGACCCGGGGTGGGGCGTTTTTTTTTTTTGTCCCTAAATTTTTTTTTGTCAAAATGATAAATGAAAAGAAAATGGAATAGGTGTAAATTAAAAAAAAATTTGTTTGAACTTGCTGAGTTGGCGGTGACATGGCGCGTTGACTAACGGTCAACGCGTTTGACCGTCCAAGTTAACGGTCAAAAGTCTGATCTGGCCAAATTGTTTACTTTGGTGTATAGTTCGGGCCAGAATGTTATAGATCGAAAAGATTGGCCAGGATGTTTACTTTGGTCAAAGTTCAGGCCATACGAAAATATTAACCCTTGTTATTTTCACAACCTACTTTATCCACCATTATATTCATTCTCTTTCATGCTTTTTTAAATTGATGGATGAGATTGGTACAAGGGTATTTTTGGACGAAAAAATATGACCACATGGGATTACAACCCATATTAAATTCAATATTCTTCTCCTCTCTCTAAAAACCCTAATTAGAATTTTCATATCATTCTCCCTCTCTCTGCGGCCGCCACCAACGCCTGTTCTTCCTTCTTTCTTCTTCCTCCTATTCTTCTTCCTCCCATCTCGTCAACTCCTCCTACCGTCGTCGCCTTTCTCCCGCCGCCGCCTTCCTCTCGCCGCCGCCGCCACCTTCCTCCTACTGCCCTCCTCCCACCGACACCTAGTCCCGTCGTCGCATCCACAATAGTCCCGGAGCACCTCCGCCCCTGTCGGCTGCCCCTTGGCTCTTAACACCGTTGCCTCTGCCCTTGTCGCTGCCGTCTCGCGCGCTCTCCGCCCCTGCCACGAGGTCTCTACCGCGAGGTCATCGATTACCCCTGCCACTAGCCTCCTCTCCTTACCTCTTCCGGTGTGAGTCCCTCTGCCTCTTTGTGCCTCCTCTCCTCTCCTCCTCTTCGTTTTTCATATCCATGATTTTTGGATTTTCAGATCTGGTTTTTTTCTAGTGGTACTTATTTTCTAGTGGTAGTGGTACTGGTTTTTTACTGGTAGTGGTACTATATGGAGTGGTAGTTGGTAGTGGTATGCTATCACTATCATTTGGTACCAATACCATCTGGTACCTGGTGCCAGATGGTATTGGTACCAAATGATAGTGGTACGCTACCACTACTAAGTATCAGAAGGCAGTGGTACACTACCACTACCCGGTACCAGATGGTAGTGGTACCAGTGGTAGTGGTAAGTACCACTAACGTACTGACAGAGTTTTAATTTTTTACAGGTGGCCAGAGCGAGTCGTATTCAAGGATCTTGCCGGAGAAAGTCTGCTGGTCGGAGTGGAGTGGCTGCTTGAAAAGGAAGAGAGAGACAGGAAGAGAGAGTTGTATTTATTGTAGGATTCAAAATTTTAAATAACATGTATTTAATATGGGTTTTTAATTCCCAATCTGTAGTTAATAAAAAATTAATTAACAAATTCATTTTTTTTTGTCATACCCAAAATACCCTTGGTTTTAATTCTCACAATCCCTTAGGGGTTGTTACCGTATCCCATCGATGAATGATTTTCGGGAATGAAAATTTACTAATTTGTAAGAATATGAATATCCTTCACTACACAGATGTAAAAGGCAAGCTCACAAAAACGTCTATTGAAAAGTCAGGTATTGATGAAGTACAGACTTGCAGCCATCAAGCTCGACCAACCCTGACTAGTTTTGCCAACAATTATAAGAACTTGCTTTGACCCATCAACTAATTCTGAATTACTCGACTTAGATTCCAAACTTCAGCTGATACAAAAAAAAAAAAAAAAAGACACTAAAACAACAAATGGCTCGCCATCTCTTAATCCTGCAACAATTCCCCTGCCTTCAAGCAGCAGAAGTGAAGTTAAAATTGGCACAAGTAGTCTGCCTAGACAACAAAGACAAGCTGAACCCAACTCTCGAAGCGGCAAGATCAAACTGCAGCAGATTATCTTCCAACTGATGCCCACCAATCACAATGGCAGCCCTGGCATCCATCCCACCATCCACAAACCCGAGGCAGAGAACGCCTTTCTTCACTTGAACCATCGAGTTCGCACCGAAAATCCTCCAGTACACTTTGCTGCTCTGCAACACCAGATCGATCTGCGGCACAGCAGGTCCAACTCGTGTGCTCCCAATCGCCGCAGAGTTGTAACACAGCTCGAACGGCCTAACCCCTGCCACTCTGGCCACTCCACTCAGCGCCTTGGCGAAAGTGGCAATCACAGCTTTGTAAATCGAAGTCTCGAGGACGGTGTAAGGCTGAACAGTGCTAATCTTCGTCCCACCGAAACCCTCTTTGTTGATTTTGAGCAAAGTGGTGTTGAGTGGGACGGTTTTGTTGTTGATTTTGATTGATTTGACTCCAATGAAGTAGTCAGAGGAAGGTTCCCCTGCAAAAGTTGCAAATTCTGTACTGACCTTTTTGAGAAGCAATGGAGTGTAGATCAACGACTTGGAGATCTCAACTTTTGGTTGCATCACATAAGGCCCATCACCAAAGAAGACAGCTCCTTTGCCGGATTTGCTCAAGCAGATTGCAAATTTCCTGGGGAAGCTGAAAGCAGCAGAGAATTGAGAAGGGAGGGAGAGGTTACTCCTTCCAAGTCCAGCAATTCCCTTCACACCCTTTGCAAGTCCATCTAGCACGAAACTGAGGGCACAAGTGAAGAGAAAGTGGGGAACTTTGACGATTTTGCCCGGGTTCGACCCGTCGGTCGATTGGATCGAGACGAGGTCCTGACCGAGATCCCCGGTCGTGCCGGTTTGGGTGAAGGTGTTCTCGAGCAGCATGCCGCAGGTGTTGTTGTAGCAGCCCGGCTTTGGTGACGATTGGTAGCATTCGGTGGTGCAGAGGTTGGAGTTTGCGAGGTGGCATTGCGACGATTCGCAGCGAGATGGGGCGTAGGACGACGAGGCGTAGTTATCTTCGCAGTCGATCCAGAGGGATCGACCGCCGAGGTCGAGGGCTAGTTTCACTGGGACTTGTGGGGTTCGTTGGATGATGTGGGTGAGGTATTGGAGTGTTGATGGGTGTTTCGTAACGGGGAGGACTAGGGCTTTTGGGCGGAAGGAGGGCTGCTGGGCTTGAGATAATGTGATGCAGAAGCAGAGAAGACAGGAAATGAGAAGCAGGGCAGAAGGGAAAGTGACAGCCATGGTTGATTTTGGTGAGATGGGTTTCTTTCCATATGTGTATTTATATTGGGGTTTCCATGGAGATGCCAGCTTGTAGGCACACATCTCAACCATTAAGATATACCAAGTTGACACTAAACAATATGCATTATGTTATAAAATAGCAAAGAAGAGGAACATACACAAGAGTAAGAGTAGAGACACAAGAAGAGAGGGGGAATAGAGCTTTCTTATTCATATGTTCCTTAGTACAAGGAGACCATCTATTTATAGGCACACATCACATAACCTCTACATTCTTACAATCAATATACATGAATGTGAGAATGAATGTGAAATAGAAATGGGGTGGGGGGTTACATGTAACACCCAATTGTGCAACTAATGTGTCATATGGAGAATAAATATAAGGAGATGAGTTACATAGAACTTGTAACATACCATGGAGCATCTAATGTTGGTCATCCATAATAATAATAATATTTTCATAACACTCCCCCTTGGATGACCATTAGACATGAATATGCCTCGTTAAAACCTTACTAGGAAAAACCCTGTGGGATAAAATCCTAGTGAAGGAAAAAGAGTACATAATCATCATAATACGCTATCTGAATCTGCCTCGTTAAAAACCTTACCAGGAAAACCCAGTGGGAAAAACCATGGTTAAGGAAAAAAGAGTGCAGTGCGTATATGCTCCCCCTCATGACAACATCAAAGTATAGTGTTGTGAACAAATCTTTCAAATCTTCTCATGGTAAGCTTCTTAGTGAACAAATCTTCTAGATTGTCACTTTATGCATGATCCATTAGGACCATTTTCTTCATACATGATCTTCAAGATCATTTTTTATGAAGAGAATCCACAACTACAAGTCATTTAGACGTGTTGAATAACAAATCTTAACCAAACAATTCATAACAAGTCTCATGAATTGTTGACCATTGTGCATGATCAGATGATGTTGCTATTGTGATTTCTTTGGAATCTCCATGAGATACTTGTACGACCATAAGTAAACAAATTACTCTTCTATGATCCTCATCGTTACCAATAGGTAACAAAGTATAACTTAATGAAGTATAGCAATATACATTTTCGCTCTAACGACATTGGCATACGGTACTTCAGGACCTAATAACTCGCTTCTATCTCAATGCCTAAATTGATCTTTTTTCACTTCTAGTGACCATGTGATCATTAAGTTGTTGAACATATGCAATTTTTTCCATACAAAATTGTCCTTTCACCTTTGCGACATTGTCGTACTGATCCAAAAAGGATCTTAAATCCTTCATGTTCAATTTTCTTTCTTTAAGCAATCCATGCTGCATGAAACTCTTCTGGAGTTCAATTTTCTTTGATTAAGCAAAACATGCTTTATGAAGCTCTTCTGGAGTTCATATCAACTAAAAGATATGAGATCATTATAAAATAATTTCTCGACCTTTTTCTTCCAAATAACTATAAAACTTAGCTAACACAATTGTATGCAAACAATTACTTCATACCACACGGTCACAAGCAAAAGGCACGTCATACACACAACATCACTTAACCAAACCACATTCATAAATCAAACTCGTAACTAAAACCACAATATCACGCACATAAGCCTATATGTCATAACACAATCACACATGCCAAATGCAAATGCAAATGCTCTAATGCACTTTATTCGAATTTAATCACGTAAGGCTTATTCGACCACTTCCTTTAGCAGATATTCACTTAGACGAATATACCATATTCATCCATTTTATCTCAATCCATACAAAGGATTGTTTTATCAATCGATATTGTTCTCGAGAACGTCACATGTTTGCTTCTGGCAAAACTAATCCTTCAGGGATTTTCTTATAAATATCATTATCAAGGGATCCATACAAATAGGCTATCACAATATCGACCAAATGCAAATTTCATGCTTTTTGAACTGCCAAACTATTTAAATTGCACAACATAGTTGCATCCACCACAAGAGAGTATGTCTCTTCATAATTGATGTCAGGTTTCTACCAGAAACCTCTCACGAGAAATTGTATTATATCTCTCGCAATTTCCATACGCATTTGCACAAAACCTATTTGTATCCCGTTAGTTTTACATCTTCAGGTGTAAGGACTTCTGGTCCAAAACTTATACCAAATAGCCTAATGCTTTCTTTTATATTGGCCAATATATATTTCTCTGCATGCATCAATAGACTTTTACTTTTGATCCTCTTTGTATCTATCACGTTCAGTGCTACAGCATAATCAAAACCCTTGTCGACAATAAATATACTTCGGTTTCAACTTTTTTCATACAAGCCAATTAATTGAGATCTCTTCATTTTAAAACATTCAGGTACCTACTATTCTTCTGGAACTATGATCTCAATTTTATGACTTGACTCTTCTAGAGCTATTTTTCCTCGAGTTTACCATCTTAATTTATAGCTCCTTCCTTTCTCGAGGATTTTTATCCTTGGAACCGATTGGTCTACCACGCTTCATGCGCTCGTTTAGACTCATTAGATTATCCAATATGGAAATCAATTTGTATTGGAGCATTCACAACTGGGCATGTGACATAATCACTCCTTTTAGTGAATAAAAAGGCGTTTGGCAATCAATACGTTTTTTTCCTCCATGAATCACCATATGAACTTCGGGTTCATGTTTCTTCGTTTGAGGATCAAAATGAGATGATGATTCCAACTCACATCTATGCCCTAGTGTTTACTTTTCTCCCCCTTAACGTTCGAAAAGTAATTCATCAAAATGATGATATTAGCAAAAAGAGTCATGAACAAATCTCTCATTGCAATGGACACCATGTCCAACATAAGTTCTCATGGAACTCATAACGTGTTGTGGTGGATCAATTGGGATGTATTCTGCACACCCAAATTTTCTAGCATTTTAAATGTTTGGTCCCTGACCAAAACCATTTGTATGAAGGGGGGAACATATGATAACTTGTTGGCTTCATGCGAATTAATGATATCATATTCCTCGATAAAAGATCGATAGACTTAGCTTGTTCTCATAAGAGAAGTTTTGTTTGATTGGATAATCATCAAAATATATCCATCATTCGGCAACTAATCTCGCAAACATCAGGTTGCGTTTAGATAACAGACATATATGATGATATAGTTAGCATTTGCACGGTGAGTGTATTTTTCTGCATACACTTTTATAAAATCTCAACAAATTCAATTATTTTCACGAGTGTATTCTCCTCGAGACCATGTATCACATAATCAATCCTTTGATTGATGAATTCTCTGAACTCTCACTTAATTTCCGTATGATATCTCAATCATTTTTGCATCTGTATCCGGGATGGTATGACCGGACATGCCAAAATAAAAAGTTATCCGATCTTGCAAACTTCTGGTTTACACTTTCATATGTACTAATATACATGTAGTACAAATTTCTCCGGTTAAGTATATGTTCTCTTATAACACATTTCTGATGCAATATCAATTATGATATTCTTTTCTGCGAATATCTTCATAATTCGGTAATGCATCTTCAACTGAGAGTTTAGTTCATTCACGTCTCAAAACATTAGCTCTTCTGGAGCTTTCACATACTCTTGTACTACATTTTGGTCATTAGGCACCTTTTGATTTCGGTGAACTATTGTAAGCATATACATAGTGATAAGAATATTTACATACTATTAATATCACCAATATATTGTTTAGTTACTTCAAGTAACAAAACACAATCTCTTCCGGAGCTTTTTCTTACTTTCATACTATATGATATAATACCAGTATTGACTTTTGCGAACATTCATTCTATACAAAAGCATACAAAATAATAATAATAATAATAACATATATGTGTTTCATAACACATTCCGGCATATGAAGGTTACGATATATGATCATGACTTTTGCTACATGAGTTGTCATCCTCATTTATAATTATTTTATCTTTCACTTCCGGTGAAAAGATACATTTGTTGATTGTCGTTATCCAAACAACAAATTATATTAATATAATGGTGTGTCTCGATCCATTCACTTTTAAGAATGATTTGTTTCATTCGCTTCCAGGAATGAAACAACACCCTTTGGATCATATTATATAATATTTCTCATCACAAGTCCAATACATTTTTCACCTTTAACTAACAAGAAATTAACTTACACTTTGTAAAACCTCTAAGATAATATTGCTACTGCAGGAGCACATATAGATTTTCATTTTCCTTTCAAATGATTCTTGGCCCAATAAAAATTCTTTTCATACATCGGGTACAAGATCAATGATTTTTTCCCCATCGCAATGGTAACTCATATTCCAATATTTTAGTTACCAAATCCACTTCTTTCATTTGACACATTTTTCCACTTCAGGGGAAAATGAGATCTTTAGACTTTCATTTCTCTATATGTCGAATGTAGCAATCGATAAGTCAACCCATAATGATTTTGCTACAACAGGAGCAATTTTCATTATCTGATAATGTCCAAGCACAAACTCTATGTTACAAGATTGACAAATATAAAATAAGTTCATAAAATAATATGAACAAATAACAAGATCAAATAATCTCTCAAAGACAATGAGATATATAAACATACTAACAAGAAATGACATGAAAATTTGCATACCTTGATCGTGTTGTGATCTTACTCAAGTATATGTGATTATGTAGAGAGACAATGACCAACCATTACTTTGGCAGAGCTCGTACTGATAACGTGTTATAAAATAGCAAAGAAGAGGAACATACACAAGAGTAAGAGTAGAGACACAAGAAGAGAGGGGGAATAGAGCTTTCTTATTCATATGTTCCTTAGTACAAGGAGACCATCTATTTATAGGCACACATCACATAACCTCTACATTCTTACAATCAATATACATGAATGTGAGAATGAATGTGAAATAGAAATGGGGTGGGGGGTTACATGTAACACCCAATTGTGCAACTAATGTGTCATATGGAGAATAAATATAAGGAGATGAGTTACATAGAACTTGTAACATACCATGGAGCATCTAATGTT